CTATCATCAAGTTGCCAGTTGTGAAAATGTTTGTTTTCTTGACATTGAGATGGACTCCATATTCAAGACTGCACTGTCTGATCTTCTGCAACAAGTGCCTTCAAGTCCTCCTTATCTTTAGCAAGCAAAGTTATGTCGTCTGCAAAATGAAGGTTATTGATGAGTCTTCCTCTGATCCTACATTCTTCTTCACAGAATCCAGCTTCTCAAATGATTTGCTTAGCATACAGATTGAATAGTTGTGGAGAAAGAATATAACTCTGACATATCTTTTTAGGTGTTAACAGCTAATTTATTCTACAAGCAATGGAGACTTCATGCAGGTTTTTAAAAGAAAATCTCTTAAAACTTTTAAAACATACGTATTCTAGAAAATGGAAAAGCAGAGAACATGAAAGCCACCCATAATCACTTTGATGATTAGTTTATGTCATTTTACATTTTACACACACACACACACACACACACACACACACACACAAGCAAGCTTACATTTTTATTTGATTGCAGTCACACACGTGCTTTTCACACATCACAAGTATTTACAAATTCAAAGTCCCAAAGCTATGAGTATTTTGACAACCAAGAATAGCTTATACAGACTCACTTAGGAAGGGCAAAAAAGCAGTCAGCCATTCTTGGAGAAAAAAAATTTATAAATACTAAAAACAGTGCACACCACTAGGTCATGACAGAGCTGCAACTAAAATACTGGATTCCTTTCATGCATAATTTAAAATAAAACATAAAGTAGTAAAGTAAAATAAGATACTAAGATAGCTGTCAGATCTCTATTAAAATTTAACAATGTATTTCTATAATACAGACAAGAAATGTACACATGTATCATGGTTACTATAAAAATGCAAATATGGACACACAAGCATGCATGCCTCCTCTCACATCTGACAAATATTTTTATTAATTTTAAACTGTGTAGTGTTCCTTTTTTCTGTTCATACAATAGCTTGTGGTCTGGGTATCACATTATCATAATTAATTTTTCCAGGGTTCCCATTTTTCTCAATGTTAGCCATAATTTGTTATGATCTACAAAGCCAAATGCCTTTGCATATTCAATAAAGCACAAATAAACATTCTCCTGGTATACTTTGCTTTCAGTAAGGCTTCATCTGTCATCAGCAATGATTTCCCAGGCTTCCTGGTGCCACTGTGCTGTTGTTATTATGTGATGTCGAAATGAGTATGACTCACAGTGACTCTATGAACAATGACTCGGAACTTGGTCCTATCCTGAGCCAGCCTCACCATCTCTGACACACCTGTCTGTACCCATTGCCATAGTCACTGTGCAAATCTATCTCATCCAAGGTCTTTCTTTTCTGTGATGACCCTCTATCCTTCCAAGCATGATGTCCTTCTCCAAGGACTGTTCCCTCCTGGTAACATGCACAAAGTATGTGAGATAGAGCTTCAAAATCCTTGCCTCCAAGGAGCAAACTGGTTTCACACTCTCCAGGAAAGACCTATTTGTTCTCCTGGCAGTCCATGGTGTGTTCAATACTCTTCTTCAGCCCCACAACTCAAAGATATCAATTCTTCTTCTGTCATTTTAATTCATTACAACTAGCAATTGAGTAGACCATGGTTTGGATCAGTAATACTTCAGTCTCTAGACTGACATCATTGCTCTTTAGCACTCTGTTACCATGGCCTCTTCTAAATCCAGCTTGAAATTCTGACAATTCTCTGTCAATGTACTGTTCTAGCCATTTTTTCATGATCTGCAGCAATATTTTACTTGCATATGATATTGTTTGATAATTGCCACATTGTGTTGGATCATCTTTCTTATGAATGGGAACAAATAAGTATCCCTTCCAGTTAGTTGGTCAGGCAGCTATTCTCTAAATTTCCTAGCATAGACTCGTGAGCTCATCTGGGGTTACACCTGGAAGTGCCAGGAGGTATTCTGGTGATGTAGTGTATCTCTAAAATCAGACTTTTTTTATACTGAATATATACTGTTTTATGCAATTTGTATAATCATATGGGGCCTAAAAGGTCCACTGACATATGAAATCTGATGTTCAGAGAGGTTAAATACATATCTTTTCAATCTATGTGTGGAATAGATCATTCAGGAGGCCAGAGTTTATGAAGAAGAATGTGACATCAGGATTGGTGGAAGACTCATCAGCAATCTGAATTATGCACATCACGCAAACTTGCTTACTGAAGCAGAGGACTTGAAGCATTGTAAAAGGTCAAGGACATAGTCTTCAATATGGAAAGCTCAACATCAAGAAAACAAAGATTCTCACCATTGGGCCAACTGATAGCACTATAATAGATGGAGAAGAGACTGAGATTGTTAACAATTTCAGCTTGCTTGGTTCCACAATCAATACTCTTGGCTCCAGCATATAGAAAATTAAAAAAAAAAAAAAAACTACTTACATTGGGAAACATCTGCTGTGAAGGATCCTCCAGAGTGCTAAAGATCAACAATGCCAATCGAGAGATTAAGGTATGCCTGATCCAGGCCGTGGTCTTCATAATTACTTGCTATGCATCAGAAAGCGGGACAGTTACCAAGAATGACAGAAGGCAAATTGGAGGCTTTGAATTGTGGTGTTGGAGAATAATACTGAACAATAACAACAACAACAAGACTGCTAGGAGAACAAGCAGGTCAGTCTTGGAGAGGGTGTAACCACTTCTTGGAGGCAAGGATTTTTAAGCTCCAGCTCACATACTTTTGGACATGTAGCCAGAGGGACCAGTCCTTGGAGAAGGACATCATGGTTGGAAGGGTGGAGGGATAGTGCAGAAGGGGAAGATCCTGGATCTAGATGAGATGGATTCACACAGTTCCTTGGGTAATGGGGGTAGGTGTGTTGGAGACAATGAGATTGGTTGACAAAAGGGCAGAGTTCAGAGCTATTGTCCATGGTGGTGCTATGAGTTGCAGGTGACTGAGAGGGAGTTGCTCTTCAGACCTGAAGGCTTAAATCCACCAGCTACTCCATGAAAGATGAGCAATCTCCTCCTGTGACATTTACATCTCTGAAAATCGTCTGGAGGGTCAACTATACGTCTGGAAGGTTAGCTATAAGTCAGTTCTGATTCAACAGCACCTAACAACAACAACAACAATAACAATGACAAGGTCTCATAGCTCTTGGATGGCAGAGTCCTGATTAAAGTTTAGTTCACATATGGTCCCTCAACTTGTTGTTGCTAAGTGCTGACGCGTTAACTCCAGCTCATAGCAATACTGTGCTCAACAGAACACCACCTTGCTCAATTCTGTGCCACTCTCATATTTCTGCTGTTCTTAACTCAATTGTTAGAGTCACTGTGTAGATTCATCTCTTTCTCTGATCCTTTACTTTTCCAGGCATGATGTCTTTCTTCATGATAATGTGCCTTAAAAGAATTACCTAATGTGAGATTTCCTCTTGCAGTTTGTATGAGGATAAAGGTACTTGCTAGGATTTTTAAAATCAGATGCCGTCTGCCATATCCTGAGGGCTGTCTCTGAGAGGGGAAAAGATATTTTGTAAAACCTCCAAAATCATAATCCCAATATTTAGGAACCTGCAGATCTCGTGTGGAGAGGGAATGAACTAGAAGGGGAATTTTGTTACATATAGCAAAGTGCTCAGTTGCTCTGTAGAGCAACAAAAAAGTAAATTGAGGTTTTCTCAAACTAGGAAAGGAAGCTGGACTGAGAGAGGAGGGGTCGCTGTGGAAAATTCCTGAAATTCAAAAGGAGGGAGTGTGTTTATGATAGGCATCTCCGTATTTGGTCTCTTGTTGGGTAAGGAGTTGTGCTACCAAACCCAAACCATGCGATTCAAATACACCAACTGTTCTGCAGGTGAAAAATGGGCACTTTCCCCCCCTTTGGGATTTACAGTCTCCTGCTGCTGAAGGGTCAACTATGAGTCAGTTTTGGATCCACAGCCATCAATGAGTGTGAGTGTTGTGAAAGAGAATAGGTCATTTTAAAATAAAAAACATAAAATACAAGTGTAAAGCACAGATTTAAAAAAGTGGAAATAGCTAAAGAAAATAAACTCAAACTCACGCCTAAACCCTAAATAGATTATGGAAGAGAATTCTAATAATAATAATTGAAAATGGACCAGCTGACATTGGACTTCAGGCTGTGAGCATTCAGTCTGATTAATTAAGGTCAAGGTGGTGATGGAAATACTAGCAGGAGAGTATTGTGCCGAAAGATAAATTTGTCCGCCTGTATCTCAGCAAGACAGCAGGGAGGTGTGTGTTTGGAGTTAAATTAATTTGATTTACATCACGCCACACCACAGTAGCTTCTGTTCCCTCTCCTGCTGTCAGATGTCTTAGCTGGCTTTTCCCTCTTCTTCACCCCCACACATTTCATAACACCGAGAGAAAGCGTGGATTGGCTTCAGGCAGAATTTAGAAATGGAATAACTCTAATTTGATTGTTCTGCATTGAGCGCTCATCCCCTCGCCCCTCCCCCATTTCTTTCTTGAGGGAGCAAAGTTGTAACTCTAGCATAAGTGAGATTTATTTTTATATTGTGCTTAATGGCACAAACTGTTTGATAATCAGAATTTGTTTCCAGTCGCAAAACCTGGCAGCACACCTCTTCTCCTGTGTTTCTGCAATAATGCTAACACCAGAAAATGCAGTAACTGCTCGGGATTGCCTGGGGAATGTGCTTTTCCTGGCCTTCTAGCTTTCCACTCTGTTAGGGCCTTGACGCTGAGGTGGAGGGGATGGGGTTTCTTCCCCAGTGAAGGCGCCTGCACCTCCTGTTGGGGGTGGGTGCCACAGCCCAGGGTCCCCGCCCTGCCCGCGGCCTCTCGCCCCTTCCGGCTTAGCTGGCCAGGATAAGGTTACGCCAAGGCTTCCTTGGAGGCGAGGAAGGGAGGCGGTCCGAGCGCGGGGGAGTTGCCACAGTTTGCGCTCCTGCCCTGGGCCCTCGGGGCCACATCCTTGCTGCTCACAGAGTGCAGCGTGCAAGGCTCGGAGCGCGGCCATGGCTCGAGAGAGGTCGCCTGGGAGGGGCTGCAGCGACCTGCGCCGGTGCCTGCTCGGCGTCGCGCTGCTGCTCGGCCTGCGGCTGTGCGTGGAGCTGAGGCGCGCGGGCCCCGGGCCCCCCGGCGGGAGCAGGCCGCCAGGCCTGGTCCACAGGCCGCCCGGGCTGCACCTGCCACCCGCGCCCGGCCCCCCGCGAGGCGCCAGCAGGAGGCAGGTGACCTACGTGCGCAGCGGGCGCAGAGCGCAGCCAGGGGGCGGCGGACGCGGGACCACGGAGCCGGGCTGCTGCGCCCCGCGCGGGCACCCCGGCCGGAAGGTCAGTCACAAAGGGCGCAAGATTAGGCCTTAGAACTGGACCCTGCTGGTCCACGGCTGCCTCTCGGGCTCGGCGGGCCACCCCACTGGCACTTTCCAACCCATCTTCAGCCTCTCTTCTTACTCTGCGCTCTCCAGCGGCTCCACAGGTCGCATCTTCCGTGCTTAGCTCTGTGGGTGGACTGAGCCCAGTTCATTCACAATTCAACAAGTACCGCTGAGCGCCACTGTGTGCTCCACAGGCTCTGAGAATCCAGCACTGAAGGATGGGAAAACCTTCTCTCAGGATGTTTACATGTTAATACGAGGAGGATGTGAGTTACAGGCACATGAAAAAAGGAGCCATGCTTGATATTTATGTCCTGCGTTTCTCCCAGTTTTCTTGTGGAGGCCTGGACTTGGGTGGGTGGGGAACCACTGCAAATTCTTTTCCCACTGTCTTCATCACAGTTGGGCCATCCACTCTCAGTCCGAGTGTCCTTTGAATTCCATCCTAGACGTTGTTGGGGTGAGAAGTGGGGCCCCTAGGATTAATGAGAAGTCAATGGAATCCTAAAGGACTGAACTAATAACTTGGGTTTGTCCTACCACATTCGACTACAGCTCTTTCTACTTCATTAACCTTGACTCACGGCTCACCAAGTTGTCCAGTGTGAACTCTGGGTTTTAAACCTGCAGGCTCCCATATTCCTCTGGAACTTAGTGATTTACATGATACTTGGGGGTTAATATGGATCTCTTCCAGTCAATTGATCAGGAAGCTGTTCTCCAAATTTCCTGACATAGACTGGCTGACATGTATAGGGCTGCATCTGTTGGTTGAAACATGTCACTTGGTATCCCGTCCATTCCTGGGGCCTTTTATCCCTTTTGGCCTTCTGTGTTGTTGTTGTTATGTGCCATCAAGGCATTTGAACTCATAGCGACCCTATGCACAAGAGCCCTAAATGCCATTCTATCCTGTGCCAATCTCGCTGTCTCAAACACATTCATTCCCACCACTCCACTCACAGAATCAATCCATCTCATCGAGGGTCTTCCTCTCCTGCCATCCCTCCACACTCCCAAACATGATGTCCCTCTCCAAGGACCAGTCCCTCCTTGCAGCATGCCCAAAGTATGTCAGACAAAGCTTCAGAATCCTTGATTCCAGGGAACATTCTGGCTTCACCCTCTCCAGGGCAAACCTGTTTGTTTTCCTAGCAGTCCATGGTATATTCAACACTCTTCTCCAGCACCACAACTCAAAGGCATCAATTACCTTTCTATCATCCCTATTCACTTTCCAACTCTCCAGTGCATAGCAAGTAGTTACAAAGCCTTCTGTAGATGTCCTCAAATATCCATCCCTTAAATGTACTCAACACCACTCTGCACTTTTCCTTTCAAAGTTACTCTTTATCCTCTGTGATTTTGCTGTTGCTTATCCAAGAATTAATCTCAACTCTTTGTCTCTAGACACTACTGTTGATACCTAGAGTCTGCCCTGCAAATGAGAAGGATTGGATTGGAATGGAATGTTGGAATTCATAGACTCAGAAGGCCATTAGAGGGAAAACGCACATCTATTCTTGTTAGGAGCCTTTTACAGTGACATAATGGTCTGTGGTGGTACTGCTCAACTCCTCATCTAAAGGTTGATAGTCCTAGCTCCTCCAATAGATGAAGGACCTGATGGTCTACTTTTGTAAAGATTAAAACAAAACAAATCCTGGGTACAGTTCTACTCTATGCATCTAGATTCACTATGATTTGGGGTTGACATGACAGTTGTTGTGTGCCATAAAGTTGGAACCAACCCATAGGTGACCCTTCAGCAGGTTTTTAGAGGCAGTAAATTGCACAAGAGGAGATTACCCATCCTTCTTCCACAGAGAGCTGCTGGCCTTGAATCCTCTGCCTTCAGGATTGCAGTGTAGCTTCTTGCCACTAAGCTACCAGGGCTCCATGACTTGACAGTAGAGAGTTTGATTTGGTAGTGATCTTGGCTAGAGATGCTGGTGAGTTAGACGAGGTGGTAAGAAGTGGTTGGATTCTGGATATATTTTGGAGGTACAGAAGGAAGGAAAGCATTTATATTTTGTTTTGGTGTTGGAGTGAAGTGAATGGGAATCAAGGGTTTTGGTTATAGACATGTTAATTTTGGGATATCTTTTAGTATCCAATAGAAATGTCACATAGGCAGGTAGATACACAAGTCTGGAGGAAAGTCCCAGACTGAAGGGATAGATTTTGGAAGATTAGTGTACAAGTAGGCAACATATCTCTGGGGTTTCCAACTCACTAGGCCTCATGAGAGAAAGATGGGCACTCTCTTCCCTGTGATTTAATCATTTTCTCCTCATTGGCAATGAATTTATTGTTTGTAATGTACAAGGGCCATAAAAGTCACAAGACTCTGAGATCAACTTGAATGTCAGTGTGCCTAACAAAGGCAAGAAGATCTGAGTCCAAGCCCTGGGGCTCAGTTTTATTAAAATTTAATTTTAAGAAATGGAGTGTGAAGGAAATACCTTGCATATTTATCTTAGTGCCTGACCCATCAGCTCTTATGAGTAGGAGCTTTAGTTTTCACTGGTCTGTCTTAGCCATTTGGTGTCAGCCATTCTCCAAATGCCATTTCTTAGAACATATCCTGCTCCCTTTGACTAAAGCTACTTCTTTGGCTTGCACAACTCTCATCTTCCTTTCCTATGATTTTTATCCTTCTCATCCTGAACATTCAGGTAAAGTCATTACCTGGGAACTTCCTCAGATTTCATCCTACTTCCATGCTAATCTCTTCTCAATTTGAGTTGCCAACAAAAGATTTGTAAATGCTGTGATTTGGTAATTCTAGTTAAGTAATGTTTAGTCTCCAGGGCTATTCTTTCTTTTTTTAAATAATACTAGTCTATTTAAAAAGTTCTTGTATGTTGTTTTTCACACTGGATCTTTCACATTTCCTTTACCACTACCCCCATCAAATTATGTGAGCCTATGTACCATGGACTGCCAAGAAAACAAACAGATTTATCCTAGAGAGGGTTAAACCAGGCTACTCCTTGGAGGCAAAGATTCTAGGGCTTCGTTTGACATACTTTGGACATGTTGTAAGGAGAGACAGGTCTTTGGAGAGGGACATCATGCTGGGTAGAGTAGAGGAACAGCGCAGGAGGGGAAGACCCTCTATGAGGTGGATTGATTCAGTGACTAGGGTAATCGGGATGGGTGTGTCAGAGACAGTGCGATTCGCACAGGATAGAGCAGGGTTTAGGGCTGTTGTACATAGGGTCGCTATGAGTCGCAAACGACTCGACGGCACATAACAACAACAACAATGTATGATTGACCACTCTTCACTTACCGTTCATCCTCACTCCTCTGCTCCTCACCACCCCATCCTTGGATCCTCATACTCACTCTGCAATAATGGTTTTATGAAGTATTTGTCCTTATGTGACTGAGTTATTTCACTCAGCATAATGCTCTCCAGTTCCTCCCAAATTAGGTAGTGATTTACAAAATCTTTGCTTTTATGTACTACATAGTATTTCACTGTGTGAATGTATCATAGTTTCTCAGTTCATTCAACTGTGGTTGAACATTTGGCCTTTTTCCATGTTCTTGCGATGGTGAGTAACACTGCTAGGAATATTGGTGTACAAGTCTCTGTTTGTGCTTCAGTTCTCATTCTCTCTGGGTATATTCCAAGCAGTGGAATAGCTCGGTCATATGGTATTTCTGTGTTTAGCTTTCTGAGGAAATGCCAAACTGCCTTCCAGAGTGGTTGTACCGTTTTTCAAGCCCCGCCAACAGTGTATAAGGGTTCCTATTTCACCACATCCTCTCCAGCATTTATTCTTGATGAGAAAGATTGTGTCTCATACAGTAACCCTTCATAAATGCCCTATATGTTGTTGTTGTTGTTATTATGTAGCCCTGAGACGCCTGTGACCCCTAGCTACCCTGTGTCTGACAGCTCTGAACCATGTTCTATCCTGAGTCAATCTCACTGACAAAACCTACCACCATTATTCCAGTTACTGTATCAATACTAACAAGTAAAAATAAAAGAATGTTAACATTTCAGCTAAGTATGTGGCAAGAAGCTGCTGCACTGCAATCCCGAAGGCACAAGGCACATGGTTTGAATCCACCAGCTGCTGTGCAGGAGAAGGATGAACTGCCTCTAAAAACCTGCTGGAGGGTCACCTGTGGGTCGGTTCTAGTTCAGCAGTACCCAGCCACAACCACAACAATGTGCCACTTTTAAAGGTCTCTGCTTAAAAATAGGGAAGAATGAAGTGAGTGATTTGTTGCTATTTTAAACATTGTTTTTTAACCTCTTGAGGAAATTGTCCCTGGATTCCCTTCCCAATTAATTTATTTTCAGGCTAGGCATTCTCGCCTGAGAAAGGGGATCTTGGACTAGTTTCACTTTATTATTATTTAAAATATCCCTCAAAACTGGAAAGACCAGTTGTTTACTCCATCTTTCCAGGAGCAGAGTTTAAGCGTCTTCATTTCTGTGGCAAATCTTGTTCCTTTTTAGCCACCCATCTACACATGAGGAAACAAGACGTGAATGTACTATTAAATAACTAAAGTTTGGAAGCGATTAAGTTCCTGGAATCTTACTCTATTTAAATGCCGTTTGTTGAGGATAGTGATAAACAGTGTTCTTTAGGCTCCTGGTCGCTTTGCCCTAGGCGCCTACCAGATTGGAAAGGGAGAAAAACTTGCATTCTATTTTGAGGCTGGTTTTCTGGGTGGATGAAAACGGCATGAAATAATTGGGTTGCAGCGTGTTTCTTGTCACCGTGCTTCCTTTGCAGGTGTTAAGAGGCACAAAAATTCAGCAATTATATTGCCACTTTAATCATAGCTTATGCTTCTCTTAAAGAATATAATCTGTTATAAAAAAGAGAAATGGAGTCTTCATCTAATTCTTACCTTCTTTCCTTGTCCCATCTTTCACTGATCCATATAAGACCTAGATCTAGACGTTAAGCCTTCTTT